AAGTAATAGTGGGTTATAGGTATGGCATCTAGTGTAGAACCTAGTAATAGGTAGATACTTAATTAGGCACTCAAAAGATGCAGATATAGCTAGAATATATCCTCGTTAGAATGTACTTGTCTGAGGTCCCCTTGAAAAGGACACCATATGATCCTACTATCTAATAAAAGCGGGAAACCAAAGAGGCTAACCTTGACTATAAAAAATAAATAGTCTGATTATAAGTTGATTATAATTATTGAATTCAAAATTTTGATTATATTTCAGTTTTTAGTTTTGCGAGTTTTTGTAACTACTCAATTTTAGTTGATATAGTCTTATATAATCTGAGCTTAGTATTTAATCTTTACGTATCAGGGTCTGTTAATCACTAGTATTTCAATTCTATTTTTGACAGACTATCTAGATTGAATTTGCATTAGACTATATATAAAGCTTGCTTTTGTGTATATTTGTAGGTTCGTTATTTAAGTTTTTTGATCAATCCGAATAAAAATCTTTAATCTGAATAGCTGAATTTATCTAGATGATCAATTTAGATAGTCTAAATTTTGGTTTAATACCTAACAAATACTATTTGTTTTATGCTTTATTTTATTAGTGTTGATGATTAAGCAAACTTGGGCATGTAAATTTTATTAATAAGGTAGAGTCGAGTATTATGATGCAGGTGAGTATTGTGACGCATTCGTGTTTTTTGATGATTTTTCATAACGCATTAATTAGAATCAAATAATTTTGGTATCATTTGATTCCTCTTACTGAGACGAATCGAATGATATTAATTTCATTTTATTTGAGGCGCTAGTATTCAAGTAATAGACAAAAAACTATAAATTTACTAATATTTTGGGCACCGACCCATAAGAATTCAAATTGACATAATTAATCAAGTTAGTACGTGCATACCAGTGCAATTATTAATTAATTTTATGCACATACTTACTATACAAAATAAAGTAATGAATGTTTAATTTCTTGCATATCTGTTATCAAGAAAAACAACTTTGCTATACATGTTAAATTCTTTATTCCTATGCAAATTATAACAGTCTTCATAAAACTTTCTAAAACTAAAACTATATTCTTCTATTGCAAAAAACAACTCTGAAAATTTATACATTTTAAAACCTTTAATTGTAAATCAATATTTGTTTTTTTGATCAAAAACATTACCTGCAGCTTTACTAAATTTTCTATACATTAAAAGAATATACTTCATTTTTACTAAATCTTCAAAATAATAAATAACTTCTTCAAAATAATTAATAAAATCTTTAATGCAATTTTCTTGACTAATGTAAGCATAATAATTGTTAATTGAATTGATAATTGCATCTGTAATGATGAGTTTCCAAAAATAATATATGGTATTTCTTAATCGTTCATAAAGAAGCGGAAGTACATAGTATATTTGTTCTTTAAATTTGGCCATATTATAAGTGTTTTTTATTAAATTATTATAAAGGTTTAAAATCATATTGTTTAGATCTTCATCTTGCAAATCGAAATGATACAGCATATTTAATTTTTTTGTTAATATAAGCATTGTATAAAAATTATTTTATTTATATTTGAGAAATACTTATATTTGATTATAAAATTTAGTTAAAGTAATTAATTAACTACAGGGTGCAGCTAGATTCAATTTCACAATTTTGTCTAGCTTTATTTGTTAATATTTCATTTGTTTAATGCTTATAAAAAATAATCGTAATTGTGTAATTGACTATATTTGAAAAACTGTTTCATACTAGAGGCCTGCAAATTTATAATTTTGTGGCCTGGGCCTAGCCCACAATTAGGGTTAAAAAATTTTTGCTGGCCCGGCCCGGCCCACTTTAAAAAATTTAAATTTTAGGCCCACCCAGTCTGGTCTGAAATATATAATTTAAATTTTTAAAAATTTAAAATAAATATAAAAATATTATGATAAAGTAAAATCTATATTGCTAATTGGTAAAATTTATATTGATTAATTAAATTAAATAAAATATAAAATGCAATATAGATTTTGCTCTGTTAAAATAAAAATTATACCAAAACTTTGAGTAAAGATATCTCAACAACTATCTAATTAAGTTTAATAAAATTTAGTTTATTTGAGTTTTATGAATCCATAGAATTCAAATAAAAAATTTTTTATTGAATTTAATCAGATAATTGCTAAAATATCTTTGCTCAAAGTTAAAAAAAAATTGACTTAGTTTTATTATATTTTGATTTTTTTAAAACTTTAAATAAAGATATTTTAATAACTATCTAATCAAATTTAATAATATTTTTTTATTTAAATTCTATTATTTTATAGAATTCAAATAAAAAATTTACTGAATTTAGTTAAGTAGATATTAAGATATCTTTATTCAAAGTTTTAAAAAAATTTAATACAACCTATTTTGATAGATGTTTTAATTTTTTTAAAACTTTAAGTAAAGATATCTCAACAATCATTTGCTAAAATTTAATAAAAACTTTTTTTATTTGAATTCTATGAAATTATAGAATTCAAATAAAATATTTTTATTAAATTTAATTAGATGGTTATCAAAATATCTTTACTCAAAGTTTAAAAAAATTTGACACAACTTCTATATTTTAATTTTTTTAAAAAAAAACTTTAAACAAAGATATTTCAATAACCATCTAATTAAATTTAATGAAAATTTTTTAATTTTAATCTTATAAATTTATAGAATTCAAATAAATCTATTTTAATTGAATTTAATTAGATAATTTTTAGAATAACTTTGCTTAAAATTTAAAAAAAACTTGGTAGAGCTTTTATATTTCAATTTTTTTAAAAAAAAAATATTGAGCAAAGATATTATAACAACCATTTAATTGCTAATCTGCCTATAATTGGCACCAAATCTTTTATAAAATTTTGAAAAATTTTTTGTCGATCATTTAGTAATTTATATGTAATAAAAAAAAGATTATAAATGAAAATTTTACTATGTTATACTAAATTTCATATTTTATTGTATAACCAAATGCACCAATAGTAATGTAAACTTTTTTTTTAAAAAAAATATACTATTGTTATATGCAAAAAATTTTTACTTTGCAGCTATGACAGATTTCAGAGTAAACTACCTATTCAAGTGCTAATTTCAAATACATAGTACAGTACGTTTTGCACAATATTATTGCAAATTGTTTTGTAAAATTTTTTGTAATAACGAGCTTTTGAATGAGCGTGAAAATGTATGGATCCAATTCTGGATTGTTAGTATCTTTGGGATCTCTAATTCTTTAATTTCTCCTTGTTTAACATAGTTTAGTAATCCTTGTTGTATTTGTTGAGTATTTAATTTTTTTCTACTTTCAATATTTCTAGCTAAAACATTTTTTCTAATAGTGCTTTTACTTTCTCAGTTATGCGTACTATTTCACGTCTACTACTTCTTTGGTTTTCTTTTAGTACCAAACCTACAAAAAATATTTGATGACTACTAGAATATTAGTATGTAGTTGAAATATATGTTATTATAATAATAATATAGTACCTTTTTGTTACTGTATTTCTTGATTATTCATTTGGGATATAGTATTCGTTAGATCAATTACTAGTGTAGTTTTATAGCATTTGTTCTTTTATTTATTATTATTATTATTTTTTTTTGTTTAAAATTTAGAACAATTATAGCAAATAAGTGCTACCAAAAGAAAATCTATAAATTCTATTAGATAAAATTTGCGAGTTTTCTTTTAGCAACACTCAATAATTATATAATAAAATAGTAACTTATTACTTTGTTTTCATATTTATTGTTTTCACTATTCTGTAATTTCTCTTTTAATACATATATAAAATAAATAAAGAAAAGCTAATACAAATAAAAAACTTCAAATATAATACCTGAAATTCTTGAAATAAAGTTGTTTACTTATTTTTTTTGATTAGGTATATGTAGATGTAATTGGTGTCAGTTTCTCAATTATTCAGGTTTTCATTATCTTTTGGATTTTACTAGAAGAGAAAATATTCTATGATCCAAAATTAGGTAAGGTATATGCACAAATGTTACCTTCATTAGGACCTTCTGTAGATCATTTTTATTTACTCCAGTCTGCAATATCAGTCAAAGTATCAATTTTTTATTTCTCTTTATTATAAAATTTAGCATTAGTATTTGGTATAAAATACTAGTATAATTTGCTTTTCATTCTTACCTAATTCATGATTTGGTTGCAAATTAGCTACATGTGTTTCTGCTAATTCTTTTATTGCATTTTCAATATCTTCTCCATTAGTAATATCATATCCTAATTATACATAACATTTCATAGAATGTATAATCTATATAAGCAAATAAGTAGTAAGATAATATTACTTTTTATGAAATAATAATAAATATACTAACTTGTGTATGATGTAAATCAATTACTGTCTTGGCTTTGCCCGCTTCTAGAAACATCTATTTTTTTATAAAAATATTATACCAATTTTTCTAATATGCCAAAATAATTATCAGCTCGGTATTGTGATAATGTGAACCATTATCGGAAACAATAATCACTCACTGAGGTTTATTGTCTAGTATATTAATAACAGCATATAAAGAAGACACAGTGAACCAGACATCTTGTTTTGTATTACTTGACTAATGATCAAACACGCTAATATTTAGATTTTCATCATTTTCTGATTTAGTATAAACTAGAACTGAATGCAGAATAAATCCATGTTTACTATAAAAGTCAGCTTTTGTTTTATGTACATTCTATGAATTAATTCGCATTTTGTAATCAACAATTATAAGTGCACCATTATAGTCAAGTTCATGCAAATTTGCTTTTAATTGCTAATTCAGATAAATTTTTTGTGCATAGTAAACCATAAAGTATAGTAATTTTTGTTAATATACTTCAAGATATTGGTGATATTCAGTTGGTAAAATTTTATGAAGTTCATCAAAAAAGCTAAAAGTTTTTTCACAATTCGTACAGGTATTAAAATGTGGAAGATCACAACTACCAAATGCATGCCGTAGACAATGGCTAATATATGAATTGTGTAATACCTCTCTAAAAATATTTATTTGTAAGTTATTTTCAAAATCTTGCCTTAAATATCAATGGATTAGCACCAATTCTTTAAATAATATTTTCTATTGATAAAAAAATTTTTATTGAATTTAATTAGATAATTGTTAAAATATCTTCACTCAAAGTTTTAAAAAAACTTGACTTAGCTTTTATGTTTTGATTTTTTTAAAAAAAACTTAAGTAAAGTTATTTCAACAACTGTCTAATTAAATTTAATGAAAATTTTTTATTTAAATTTTATAGATTTATTGAATTCAAATAAAAAAATTTTTATTAGATTCAATTAAGTAGTTATCAAGATAATTATTAAATTTAATTTGATTTAACCCATTCAGCTTGGCCCAGCCTGCAATTATAAAATTTAGACCTGGCCCGGTCTGCAATTACAAAATTTAATTGTTAGGCATGGCCTAGTCCACAAATCAGGCTGAGTGAGCTAAGCCGGGCCTGGGCTTCGAGACCTAATGCTGACCTCTAGTTTTTACTATCTATTTATCTTTTGATTTATTTTAATAATCTTTAAAAACAATGCTTAAATCATTATACCTTTTGTTATATAATTAATTTTTTCTTAATACAGTATTTCAATGCCATTACAATCTACTTAAATGTTTAAATACTTTATTTTATTCTTTTATAATAAAACACAGATTTCTTCAATAGCTTAATTCAAATGCTTTCTTTGGTTTGTATTTAAATTATAGCAGATCAGAATAGTATAAATAAGTAGATTAATACCATACAGGCTGATTTTTAAAATCAATTAGCTATAATTCATTTATCTGTATTATACTGATCTGTATAATCTTTAATGATTTAGTTATTTTAACTAGTGGGTGTCTCTAAACTAGTGGGTATCTCTAAACTAATAGGTGTTTCTAAAGGAGGCTACTATTTCCACCATAGTATTTTGCTATTTTCACTATATTAACAAAATTACTATTTTGAGCAGTAGAATATATTATATTGTATATAGTAATATAATAAAAATTAATTTTTTAAAATTTTAAGAAAATTTTAATAAGTAAATCTCTCTTGAGCTTCTAAGTAAAGTTGTAGAGAAGATTTTTTTGGTTTTAATGATAGTTAGATCATCAAAATTGGCCTTGTGAATCCCAAAATATTTGGGGTTAAAGATATAAATATAAGAATTTACAAATTAGTAGTTACACAAAGTATTATAGTTTATAATACTTTGTGTAACTATCAATTTGCAGATCCTTATGTTTGCGTCTTTAACCCCAAATATCTTGGAATCCACAAAGCTAATTTTGATGATCTAACCACTATTAGAACTCCAACAAACCCTAACTTAATAAAAACTTCTTTAATTTTAAGGGTAGGATATCTCATAATTTTAAGATCGCGTAAATTAACCAATCAGAATGCTTAATTTTGCCTATTAATAGGCAAGTTTGTTTATCAATGGGCAAAATCGAGCATTCTGATTAGTTAATTACACAACCCTAAAATCATGAAATACCCTACTCTTAAAAAAATTAATTTTTTATATTAAATCTTTATGTTTGTATCTTTAACTCCAAGTATCTTGGGATTCACAAGACTAATTTTGATGATATAACTATTATTAGAACCAGAAAAATCTTCTCTACAACTTTACTTAAAAGCTCAACAGACCCTAACTTAATAAAAAACTTCTTTAAATTTAAAAAAATTAATTTTTTATATTAATTTATTATAGTATTTTCTATATTAAATGTTAAAAATAGTAATTTTAGCGTAATCATAGTGGAAATAGCAAAATATCATGTTGAAAATAGACATTTTTATTTCTAAAATAGTGAGTATTTTTATTTTAGTAGATAGATTAGGTTGGATTAGACTAAACGGTTTGATGTTTTATTAGTTAGTAGTTTTTAAATTAATAAGTAGACATAATCTGAAATAACAAATAGGCAATTTCTTAGTTCTAAATTAAAGTAAGTATATATATAACCAGTTATCATATTATATACATACATATATACGTATAATATATATATATATATAAAAAAAACTTCATATTTACAAATCATGATTTTTATTAATTAATTTGCATCATAATTACTTAGTAAATATAGATCATTTTTTTTGATTAACTTATAGATTATCAATTAATATTTCTTTCTAATCCTTTTATATTAATTCTGTTTTTTAAATCTCTTCTTTATGATTCTGTTTTATTTATACTTAGGTTTAACTTCTTTTCTTTTGTTAATTTTTTATTATATTTTTCTTTAGTTATAATACCTCTGCTAATTTCTGACTTTTGTATTATCTTGCATATTTTTGTTGATATATTTATATAAAACAATTCTATACTATATCTATAGTGAGTTTGATATAGAATCTGACTTCTTTTCTTAATTGTAAAGTCTTTTATATTCTCTTTACCTTGTCTTCTTATACTAGTCTCTTGATTGCTTTTGCTCTTATTTCAAAAGATTTTTTTTAACTCTCTTCAGAAAGTTCTTTTTAATAGGTTTTTGCTTGTTTTTTTTTGAGTTTTTTCTGAAAAAAATGTCTATACTATATTTCTGCTAGTTTTTCTGCAATTTTCTAGTTATTCTTTTGTTTCTTGCAACTTACTAGATAATCTTAATCTTTTTTAACTTATTTATTATATAATATATAATCTAAATTTTGATACAGATCTGGGTGTCTTTGTACTAGTATTTGAAGTACAAATAACTTTTTATTGACACACTTGATTAAAGCCTCAAGATGTTTGTTCTTCTTCAATATTATATATCTGACTCTGCTATTTTTTTTTGATTTGCTTCCAAAAATAAGTTTATTGGGTGTGGTAACTTAGAGTAGTGGTTAAGTTGTCACCCCCAAGCAGCAGGTCTAGAGTTCGAATCCTACTGAAAATATTTTTAGAAAAATAGGCCTGTGTTCTGGTAACAATTGTTCAATGATTAGTTGAGTATATTACCTGTAATCTTGATATTACCATTTCGAAATGGAAGCTCTTGGGCAATCCAAATTTAAGGAACCAGAATAATTGAAACCTGTTTAACAAGACCCAAGTAAGGAGATAGTGAAGATCTTTGATAATACTGCGGAAAAGTCAGAAACTGAAGACCGAAGAACTAGACGAAAACCCTGGGGCAAGAAGAGTCCACCAACCTGGCCACCAAAGTCGCATCAGAGGAAAAGGTCCTATGCTACAGAATTAAAAACCAAGAAAGTAAAACCAAAAGACACTTAAAGCCTAAATACAATGACTTGTCTAGGCTAACTGGTTTGGTAGTTGAGAAGGGATTGGTATAAAGACTGGCTTGATATGGGTATTGAGATCAGAACGAACCTTGCAAAGGCACCGGATACTGGAATTGTGCGGTTTAATGATTCACTCTGACTGCTAGTGGTGGTTTCAGCTGCTGCGGAAGGTATTTGTAGCCTAATCTGGAAGTGTGTGAGACATAGAAAGATTAAAGGGTATGTACTACACCTTCTCTAGGGCAATCTGGTAGTATGGGAACCCTACTGGGTATCTATAGAATTAGGGTATAAGTAGTATAACAGATGTCGATCTGGGTGGTCTTTAATAAGAAGCAGCACAAAGTTATGAATTGGTGTGATTGTGGTGGTGATGCAGGATCAGAGACGTCAAAGGGTTTAAATAGGTAATCTTCTAGTTAGGTTACAGGTATGGCATTTAGTATAGAACCTTCAGGCGGACTACTTAAATTAGGCAACCAAAAGTTGCATATATAGCTATATATACTCTCGCTAACCAAGAATGTACTACTAAAATATCTAATAAAAATCTACCCTTCTGCAACATTGTGAAGGTATAAAAAAAAAATAAAATAAAATAAGTTTATTCATTAGTTTTAAAGTTTTTCTTTTAGTCTGTACCTGTCTTGAAGTCTAATAGTATTTTGATTACTTGTCTTACTAGATGTTCAATAAGTATTTCATCTTAGTATAGTAAAACTTTTGATTTTAGTAAGAAGGTTAAAAATAATTTTATCTATATTTGTTAATATAGTATTTTGTTTTATTAAACTATTTGCTTTATTATTTTATCTAATATTATTATAATCTTTAATTTTAACTAAATCTAGTTAAACTTTATAATACTATGTACTAAATCATAATTCTTCTGTTTTAATTATTATTTATTTAAAAGATTACTCTTTCTTTTTTTATACTTGAAATTGCTGCTATACTATTTGTTTATATCATAGTTTTTTCTTTGTCTGATGTTATAAAAACTGCTAATCAGAT